TTTGATTTCTTTCTGTGTTCACTGAATTCTTTTATCATGTTTTTAATTGTTCTTTTGAGTTCCATGTCCTGTGTTATCTCTAGGGTGTTCTCTTTGTACTCCTCTACGGGACTGTTGGTACTTGTTGGGGATATATTATTTTGGTTTTTCATGTCATTATTTTTTCTTTGTGACTTTGACATGTGAATTTCCTTCATAGTTGCTGATTCTTATGTGAGACTCAAGCTTTCCTTTGTTGAGTTTAGATCTGTTTCTTTTTGTAAACTTTATGTGTCTTTATAATTTAGCTGTTGAGCAGGAAAAGCTGGTTGGTCTAGGCTTCAGGTTCTCTCTTTTGATTTTATATTGGACTGGTCTAATTGCTTCTGTCTTCAGGAGTTCCCACAGAGGCCCACATGAGATGAGGCTCAGATGGTCTCAGGCTTTCTCCTAAGGTCTGGGTCCCTCCAGGAAAGATGCTGCCCTCAGGAATTTGGGGCTGGGCTGGCCTGGGAGAAGGGCCCAGGACAGATGATGGTCCCAGGAAGCTGGTGGCTGTGCCACCCAGGGAACCAAAAAGAGGTGAGAGAGTGACCAGGCCCAGAGGGTTCCTGGCAGGCACAGGGAGGAACTGAGTTGGTCTGGATCCAAAGGATCAGGAAGCAGTGGTGGCTCTGGGCCCAGAGGTTAGCCTTGGTGTCTGGGGTGCCAAAACAAGAAATGGGCCTGTACCCAGGCTAGGAGGAGAGACTTGGTGGGGCAGCTGGGAGGGTGAAAGAGGCTGGGGGAGTCAAGGTGTGGTGGGCATGCTGGATTTACCCAGGGAAGGTGCTGAGACCAGGACACTGGAGGCTCTGCAGCCAAGGAAGCAAAAAAGGAGGGTGGTATCTTAAGGAAGGATATGAAAAATTATTTTCTTCTGGAACCAAGATATAGATCAAGGAGGATCATGAGATGTATTTTCCAAGCTGAGTATGAGGTCAACAGGGCCAGTAAGGGACCCAGTACCATTCACAAACAAGTCATAAGAAACTCTCAGGACAATGACCTGTGATAGAGGACAGAGGAGCAGGAGGCAATGATTCTCATGACCAGAGCTCCCTGGGACTAGGTTCCTGAGAGGTATTTTGGTGAGGAGGGGACCTGAGCACAACTCCAAAGGAGGCTAAAGTGATAGCAGAGATTCAAACTTAGGTGTGGTTTGGCCCTGGCACCTCCCCCTCCTCCCCCCAGGAAAATAACTGACCAGATACTAGCAGAAAGGGGAGGAAATGGCTGGGGACTAAGGGGAAGCATCAGCTCTCCGGTGAGCCTTGCCCTCATCTCAGCTCATATCAGGAGGCTTGTCACGAGATGACTCATTTCCAAATGTAGTTCCTTTTCTTTTCCCTTTAAGTCCCTCCTCCTCCTCCTTCTCCTCCTCTTCTTCCTCCTCTTCCTTCTCCTCTTCCTCTTCTTTTTTTCCTCCTCCTTCTCTCTTTCTCCCATTTCCTCCCTCGTTCCTTCATTCCCTCCTGCATTTCTCCCTTTCACGAACCTTCAAATCTATTCAAAAGAAAATTGCCCACTGAGTGAGCACCTACCATAACCAGTCAGTATATAAGGGTAAAGAATAACTACTGGCTTTGGAAAATAGGTGGAGGGAGCTGAGGGGTAGTGGCTGAGCCCAGGAGAACAGGTGCATAGTAACAGAGCAGTGGGAATTATCCACATATCTGTTTTTAAGGTATTTGGATTTCCTAAAGGCCATAGTGGTAAGCAAATGTGCATTAAGGACTATTATAGTTTAGTTACCTTACAGTGATCATATTCCGATCAAAGCAAACAAGCAATATGTGAACTGGATCCAGCAGTGCAGACATGAGGGGCAGAGTCATCAAGACTGCATGTCACGTTAGAAAGAGCAAGTCAACCAGACTGTGGATTTGCAATGACATCTACTACCCCAGTCAGCAGAACATCTTAAACCCTCCAAAACGAAAACAAATAGTTTCCAGGGAGGCAGTTTCTTTTTCACTTCATGTCCCAGGCCTAAATCCTCTGAGAAATTGTGAGTCAGATGATTCTCTCGTTCTGCACATCCTGTGACCTCGGGAAGAACCAGAAACATTGATCACTGACCCCACACTCACTTCAGATATTGAAAGTCCCAGTAGGATTAATCTGAGCTAAAGATTAGAGCCCTGGCCAAGAAGCATGACTTTCTGGTCCCTGAAACCAAAGAGCTTCCTCCTGCTTTAATCCATTGCCCTCCAAGAAAGCCAGTTTTCCATACCACAGTGGGTGGACTCTGAGGCCAGACCCAAGTGACATCACTGTCAGACAATGAGTACCAAAAAATGTTAAGCCAGATACTTTTATCACAAAGGCAGGAATAAAGGCAGAGCTGTCAAAATGAAATCCTACTTCCTTAAAATAGGACTAGTTTTCTGTATAAAATGCCAGCAGGCCAGAGGTTCCACACCAGACCTGAGAGGCCAAAGAGCTCAACTTCCCTGCACACCTGGTAAGTCTCCACATTGGGGTCCTCTTTGTCACGTAGAGGATACATTTATTTTCACGAAATGATGCCTTTGTTTATGGTAATTATAAATTCCTAGATTTTCCACTTTGATGAGGGTCATGGAACTTTAGGTGAGAGAACAGGAGTGATTCTAGGAAGATTTGTTAATGGAAGGATATGCTTATCTGGGGCACCTTTGGTGACATCTTAATTCCCGCTGTATTACTTACTGAGGATTCATAATATGAAAATACGATGTTGGCAATTTGGTTGTTTAAAGCATAAATTTTCCTTTACTCCATAAATGTGTGACTGATCATACGTTTGCATAGTTTGCTAAAATACAGTTTTGAAACTGATTAGTAGAAAAAGAGGAGCCAGGTAACCTGCTAGAACCTGGGGAGGAAAGCCATACTAGGTAAGTATTCACACAGTGAGAACTTCCTAGAAGAAATGGTATGAACAGGGACTCAGTTGAATCAGGTGGGCTCAGGGGAAGCCTCATATAGTTTTCCTATGAGAACTAAGGCACCTCATGGAATAGTCACAAGAGGGTAGACTCCAGAGAATTTTCTCTACTTGGAAACATAAGGACTCTGAATTATATTTTGGGACTGAGCATAGAATTTTAAAGAGATTTGTTTTCATTTTATTTATTTATCTTTATTTTATGTGTATGAGTGCTCTACATATACGTATGTAAGTGCACCTATGCCCACAGAGGCCAGAAGAGGGTGTCAGGTCCCCTGGAACAGGAGGTAGGAATAGTTGTTAGCTATCATGTGGATCCTGGGAGCTGATCATCCCAGGTGCTCTGGAAGAGCAGCCTGTTGGGCACAGGGTTTTAGATGTACTGTATAAAAAGTAAGCAAAGAGAAGTGCTGATTCACATGGAGCTGAACAAATCTCCTTTATCTTTTACTCTGAAAGCATGCAAGCCTGATTTTCAATTCAAGTAAAAATAAAGAAAAGCTAGCTTCTCACTTCAGAAGAGACACACAATAAAAGAGGTTTCTACATTTTCTTTCCAAACTATTAAGTCAATTTTCTTGTCTCCAAGTTCAGCATCCTTTGAAGCATGAGTTCCTACCAGCAAAAGCAGCCCTTTGTCCCACCCCCTCAGCCTCAACAGCATCAGGTGAAGCAGCCTTGCCAGCCTCCACCTCAAGGACCATTTGTTTCCACAGAGCCATGCCACACAAATGTTCCACAACCAGGAAACACAAAGATTCCAGAGTCATGTGACACCAAAGTCCCTGAGCCAGGATATACTGTGGTTCCTGGGCCAGGTTATACTCCAGAGCCAGGTTATAACCCAGGGCCATGCTCTACCAACATCGCTGAGCCAGGCTGTACCATGGTTCCAGGGCCATGCACTACCAGTGTCCATGAGCCAGGTTATACCAAGGTTCCTGAGAAGAGTTATACCAAAGTCCCCGAGGCATGTCCTTCAAAAGACACTCCAAGTCCAGCCCAGCTGAAGACCAAGCAAAAGTAATGTAGTCCACAACCAGACCCTTGAAGAGCTGAGCACCAGCTGCTGAGCACTTTCTTCGCTGCTTCTGTGTCTTCCTTGTCCTAGAGTGTGTATTCAATCTGATTTCACGCTGATCATATTCTCTGCCTGTTTGTATCCTAAAGATATGTGCCATGGTGTCTTCCTCACATATTCTAGGGTGTCCTCTGAGTCTCTGAGAAGAAGGTGCTTGTGCCTCGGCTGCTCTTCAGGTCCTCAGAGCTCATCTGAAGAGGAATTGTGCATGGAAAGAAATGCATGTTTCCTGCTGTGCTCCATTAAATTACTTTTAACTCCGCTCCTGGCTCTGTCTGGTATTTGCTGAATTTTCTCCTTCCTAGGTCTCCTTTTGTGAGTCAAGACCTACAGACTGGGGCTGAGAGATGACTCAGTCGTTAAGAGCACTGACTGTTCTCTCAGAAGACCCAGGTTCAGTTCCCAGCACCTACATGGTGGCTAACAACTGTCCTTAACAGTTCTAGGGGATCTGATGCCCTCTAGGAGCATTGCATGTCACAGGTGTACTTACATACATGCATGTAGGCAAAACACTCAAACACATAACATAAAAATAAAGAAAAAATAAAAATAAATTCTTTTAAAAGGCCTACAGGCAGAAAGCTTCGTGTATATGTCAGTCCCTTCACCCTGCTACTGTGTACTTCCAGGAGGCTGTGACAACACATTTAGAAGGCACTCCTGGGGTAGTGTGTGGTATTGTATAATGGTATTCAGGCCCTGTCACTTTGGCAGCCATTGCTAAAACAAGGTTTTCCTCTTGCACTGGACTGGGTTGCACCTGAGTTCCATCATTTCTGTTTTAAGTCACCAGTATCCCCAGTATCCTACCTACAAGTTTTTGTGTATGCAAAAAAAAAAAAAAAAAAAATCACAACAGATTTTTATTTATTTGGCCTTTGTCATCTGTTTTCTTTCATTTATTTTGCCTTCCAGAGACTCCAAAATATACACCCCACATACACATCTACAAGGAGACACATTGCTAATAATCACATATCACACGATCAGCCACCCAACTTCCAAATTCATTGCAACAGGTAGCGTTTCCTGTATACAGGCATCTCAAACCCAGCCAGGAAGTGGGTGAGGATAACATACGTTACATGCCTCCAGTTGGATACACTGTAGTCTTCTCTAAAGGATGATAGTCACCTTCTTTTCACACAAAATGGATACAACTGCACATACACACACAATCGCACTCACACACACATTCACACGTACAACACGCATACACACAGAGTTCCAAAGTGTTTCCCACAAATCAAATAACCCCCAGAAACCTATCTTCCAGGTGATTTGAAATAAAATAGGGTTGACACAGATTCATGAAACTCTCAGACCTCATCAGAGAAGTTTCTTTTGCGGTGGAAAGTAGTTAACACCAAAGCTCACAATTGGCTGAAGTGCAGAGAATAAATGGCTGTAGAATGCTCAGCCATGAGTCAGACATTTATGTCACCCTCCCCCAAGGCTCAAGGGACGTGGTGGGAGAGGGAGCAGAAAGACTATAAGAGCTAGCTCAGAGAGAACTGGAGCAAAGCAGTGTCTTCTGGACATGACAAGACACTGCACTCATGAACTCACAGCAGCGTGGCTGTCTACACAAGACCTGCACAAGATCAAGCCAGTCAGCATTCCAGCAAGGAAGTGGGAGGGGCTCATGAGTCCCTGCTCCTGAGGGGCTACTGCTAACTGATGGTTTCTGGGGAGAGGAGAATCGGTTTTCTTTAAGGATGTGACCCCTAGTAGATGGACCAAGAGTCAGTAGATGGCCTCATACCCATGAGTATATGGGCAGCACAAATTGGATTCTGTGAGCTATTAAAAAAGGAAAGAAAGAAGAAAAGACTACACAACATAGGGAGGAGGTGTGGGGTGGACCTGTGGAGGATATGGGAGGAGTTGGGGGAGACAGGAGGGGTGAAAAGGATCAAATACCTTTGCATATATGAAATTCTCACATAAATACTAACATTATTAAAATAAAATAGGGGTGAATTTTAAGCAGACATTCAAGAATGGGATATATTTGATCCCACAGGCAAATAATTAACCATGATTTTGGTAAAGAACAAGTCATTAAGTTGCAAACATCAGGAGTGAGGGTTAAGGAGAACCTTTAGATAAAGGCCCATTTTATTCATAATATTAGCAGCTGTGCACTGTAGAAGCTATTTCCCCCACACTGGATAAGACTGCCTAACTATAGGGGCTGTAGAGATGGCTTAGTGGTTAAGAACACTGTCTGCTCTTGCAGAAGACCCAGGTTTGGTTCCCAGCACCCACATGGTGGCTAGCAATCGTTCATGACTCCAGTTGTAGGAAATCCAACACCCTCTTCTGACCTGGCTCAAGAGCTTCCAGGGATCCACCTATCTCCACCTCCCATCTTTCCATCACTGTGATTATATGTGCATGCCATTATGCATCTTTTCACATGAATTCTAGGGATCCCAGGCCTCACAGTTATGAGGCAAGCATTTTACCAACCAAGACAATCCTCTAGCACTTGGAACTTATTACTGAGGTATTTATACTGTCCCACTATGGTATCTTTCATTGGAAGGTGGCATAGGCACTTTAACTTTTAAAAATGTTTATTATTGGGGCTGAACAGATGGCTCAGCAGTTAAGAACTCTAGTAGTTCTTGCAGGAGACCCAGGTTCAAATCCCAGCACCCACATGGCAGCTAACAACTGTCTATAACTCCAGTCCCAGGGGATCCAACAGCCTCTTCTGACCTCTGTGGGCATTGCCTGGCATGGGTGCACTTACCTACATGCAGGCAATACACACATACACATAAAAATAATAATTTTTTTAAAAATGTCTATTATTGTATTTGTTTGTATGTATGTATACCTAAGTGTATGTCACATGTACCTATGTGTCCACAAAGGCCATAAGAGGGTTTCAGATCCCCAGAAGTTGGAGTTATAGGCAATTGTGAACAACCAGGTGTGGGTGCTGGGAACGGAAGTTGGATCCTTTGGAAGAGCAACAAATCCTTTCAGTCACTGAGCCTTGTCTCCATCCCAATACAGTTATTTTATGTCTATATTTTCTGGTCTGTGGAGACTTGCTCTATGAGGGTCTGATAGAGAAGACTGTGTCACTTAGATATTTCAGATACCGAGGAGGAAGAGAAGAATCTAATCTCATATTCTGGCTTCTTCAAGAGGAAGTATTTTATATGAAGTAGAAAAATGGAAGTAAAGGTATACTTTTGTCAAGCTGTTAGGAATTTTCCTTTTATGCTCATGCTTTCTACATCCACACATCAGTGTGAAGTGGAGAGACCTAGAAGAAGATACAAATACACAAAGCAAAGACCCTAATTGGCTCCTGACAGCCCAATGCAGGTATGATAGCCATACTCAATAAACTCCTGTTGTTCTAAGCCAGTGAAATGTTGGAATTTTAAAGACTGAACATTTATCTTACTGTAGCTAATGTATAAAAATATTAGTAATTATTTGTAGTATATTATCTTTTTTGTAAAGACAATGACTAGTTAAAATTTTTATAGTCTTATTTAAATAAGAAATCCAGAAAATTAGACAAATTGGCAGGTAATATTTTTCAAAGGGTTTCATTTTTTACATAATATTGATCAGAACTAATGTAAATTTTTGATATAGTATAGAACAAATACAATAGTAATATATTCAACAATTTATACAGAATATTGCTTATATTTGTGGATTTATACATAATTTTGCAATTCATGGTTACATGTCTCTCTGGAAGATAATGGGAGGTTGTACCTTCCCAATTCCTGCTCACAGAAAGTTACCAACTAGGGAGCCACTCAGATGAGCCTGGGAGCCATAATCAGGGGAGTTCAGACATGAATCCAATCATTTTAAACTGTGTGAAGTGTGTGGCAGTGCATCAGAACTTGTGGACTTGTGGTACATCTGAGAGCTATGCTAGCCAATAGTCAAGGCCAAGCAGGGCCACATTGGAGTTCAAAGGCAGAAGAACATCCCCCTGGCTTTGAAGAAGAGTAAGGTTTCAGCTGTGGGGTGGGAGGCTGAATATAGAACAAAAGGTAGGAGAGAGGGGAGAGTGTAGAGTTGGGAGCTGGAAAGGAGCACATTAGCAAAGTGGTAGAGCTCACACCAATGAATGACATTCTTGATTCACAAAAATGAAGGGAAAAAAGACCAAACTCAGAATAGAGAAAATTCCCTCAGTTTCTATTTGTATCATGAAATATTTTTCAACAGTCGTGGCCACGGTTCTACAGGGATGAAAGGAAGTAGAGATGAATAATAATTCTTTGAGAATAATCTTTTAAATGGATGTATGGCATTCTTTCATGGCAGGTGGTGCTGTGTGGTGTGTAACCACTCCAGATTCCTTTGGCAACAACTCAGACATACGTGGCAGCTATGTGCAGAGATTGTCCAACAAGCTGATGAGTAGTTGCCAAACTGGCAGGAGAGAATGCAATCATTTGTTCTGTTAGGGGTGTTCATGTCAAGGTAGCTCTGTGTTATAGCTGATTTAAATGACAGAAGAATACAGAGTCCAGAGCTGACTCCAGGACTAATCATAGCTAAGCAGTCTTTTTTTAAATTTAAATTTAATTTACTTTTTATTATTTGTTTAATAACCACATAATTAGAAGAGGCATTTCATTAAAACAGCATTAACGTATTCAATAGCAATTTTCAGAGCTAAGATGCATCTCTTTCAAAATTGGCTGTAAATTTTTAGGTTTACAGTAGAATTAATACAGTTATACAATATTATACTCAATATAAGCCCTATAAAACATAAAATTGAACGAGGTTTTAACCTTTAAAAAAGGTCTCCATTTCATTTTAAAATATACTGTTTCCTACAGAAAGACTCACTTTTAATGCTACTAATGCTTAGATGTTTGCACATGCGTCTCTAATCTCTACGTATCTGATTATTACTAGTCACAGTTGGTTACACTCGGATC